GTTCTAATCATGCCTAACCAATTTTAGATTTGTACTTAAGTTGTACTATAAATCAATGTTGCGCTAGATTAAGCTTATTGGCTTCATGTAAGCCAAATATTCATGTAAACTAGATAATCCAAAAACTAGTGTACAATTTCATTCTTTTATGCTCTGCTAAATGTCCTGAACAAGAAAAAAAACAAGCAATTTACAAAAATAACCGAGTAAACTGACCTTTTTCGACAAAACAATTGCCTAATTTTTCGGCGTGTAGACGCTTTGCTAAACTTTGGTGTTCTAAAACTGCTCTGGCTTCAACTTCTTTTGAAAAAGTAGCCACCTAAACGAAACAATGTTATAATCAGAAAACTGCTAAAATAAGCCAAAATATGCAGCTGATTAACGTCATTTGTTGATTAAGAGGATTAGTTTCAAAAACGACTTTACCAAAGAACCATTATCAACAAAAAATACTTGTTTTTTGGAGCTGTCAAACCGATAGTCGCCTCGTCGTACAGTAGGAATTATTTCATTATCATCAAAATAAAAACCTTAAAATTCTTTACATAACATCATTTAAAATTCTCTAACATTTATATAAATAAATGTACAAATGGTGTAAGCAAACAGTTTAGCAATTTCAGATTATAACAAATGCTAAAATCTGACAGCAAAATTGAAAAAATATACCAATATTGCCATTATTTCCAGGTGGTGTTTCGGCTACCAGCGCCTCAAAGTCATCCCACGTTTTTGCTCCAACTTCCTTTCGTACACGATTTCGAGTGAATGCTCCGTTTTTAAAACTAAAGTTACAATAGAAGCATAATCGCCAAGTAACAATTTTTTTAGCCTCATAAGAAGTTAATATGGAGAAGAAACACTTTTTAACTGTTGTACTGGGAAGATTAAACCTCACCAAAGCATACCCATATATCCACTTTGGTAGACTGGATTCCTAAAAAGATGGCCTTCCAGAGCTGGTACATAACGATCCAACACAAACAGAACCGTATCACTGGTTCCCAACGATACAGCAACTTGCCCAGCTTGCAAGCATAAACCGGCTAATGATGCTGAAAACAACAACCCTCATATATTGATACAAGAGAAAAAAAAATACCAGACCAGAAAATACTGCTTAACCTCCGCTCAGTAACAATAACAAAGTGAAAGTGATAATTTCATAGCAGTGTAAACGTAGAAAACAATTTTTTAGCAGTTTAATTTTAATAAACAAAATTAAAAAAAAATGTTTTTTTGGTCCTGTGAACAAAACTGTTGTCTAAGCCGTGTCACTCCTGTCTTATTAGAAGCCAAATATCATCTGTGACATTTCCACCAAAGAAAAAACCATATTTATTTAATTAGTCCTTTGGAATCACAGTGACATTTCGATGCTTTCCTTCGCATAAATATTGTTTTAAAGAACCTTTTACCGTACCTGCCAAAATGACAGCAACAGCACTTCCTAATGGAAGAATTTTTTACGCTAAACTGATTTGTTCATAAAAAGTTTTCAATCTAACTACATAGTCCTTGACAAATTTCTGCCTCCACTATATAGCTCATACCCTCGTATATTTAACGCGGCCTTTAACCAGACAATTTTTTTCTATTTTTTAAGTCATCTATTGTCAGAGGTGGTTACTGAAAAGAATAACTCACAAAGATTATCGCCGGTAAATGCAACCACTTCACAGTCAGATGAAAGACCATAACGCTGACAAAAATAGGGAGATATTTTACCCTGAAAATGATATAAGTCTTCTATTTATACTTAATGTAAAATTATTTGTTCCCTTCCTAAAATATCTTGTAAAGCCAGTTTCCCGGAATCTTTTTGCTAGTTTTAACTATCGCCTTGAATAAATTCAATTTATTTAGAAAACATCGTTACTAAACAGCCAAGCTCAACTATATTGGAAATGTTTGGAAATAAAGAAGCAAAGACTACCAACGTAGATAGCAACCAAATTAAGCCTTGTTTTACAAACGTTTTAATTTCCAGAGCACCACTTACGACGACAGTATCACATGGAACTGGTGTTCCAAGCTTCTTCAGGAGTGCTTCATAATCATCCTCATTTCCTTGAACGCATGCAAAGAGACATTCGCGACTCCAAGCGCCTTTCCTAACATCCAACAAATTCATTCCACAGGCATCACCCAAGTCGACATCAGCAAAAGCCCCGCATAAAACACAAGCGATAAAACTTGACACTAACGATATTCGCTGAAAACTAGTGTAATTTAATTTCCTCTTCCAGATTTATTACCCCTATTAAAAACAAGCTAAAAAAAAGAGTTTAAAACAAGAATACCTCGGTATTTTCAAAAATTTCTCTTTTCTTCCTGTAGAATTTCATTATTTGACTGCCACTGAACCGATGAAAGGCCCTTGAGCCGGTTAATGTTGCTAATTTCTAAAAAAAACACTAATTTTTCAAAAATACATATGCATAAACCCAAAAATAACTTAGGTTTAGTCTCTGTATTCAGCAAAGCGTTACTAAAACTAAATTATCCTTTCTATTCATATATCATTCCAGAAGTGCATTTTTTCTGATTATTTAAAGTCTTAAATTTTTATATTTCTAACATTGTAAAATGTTTCTGACAGTGAAAAAAATTTTTAAGTGCCAAATTTTAATCTAACTGCTGATCAGTTAATTAATTAAGAAACTGTTGATAGACAGATCCAATTGCAGTTTTAGAGTCAGTAATAGAGAAATAAAAATGAACTGATTAATGAACAGTACCATAGGTCCACCAACATTTTCCTCCATTAGCCTACATTCTTCAGTGGTACTTGAATCCATCCAAATTGGCGAATGTATTGTTGCAAGCGCATCCTATAAAAATAAATTCGGTAACTTAAAAATTTCACAAATTTGGCTGTTAAATGCCCATTTAACTTAGCTTTTACTCTTTTCTTTTTTCCTTTCAGTTAAGCCAACTAAATTAAGGAATTTAGTTCATCCAGACAATGTATGACTGAAAAGTAGCTATTACATGTAACTACCTATATTAGATGAACAATAGACTGTCAATTACCTGAAGAGATTCCCGTAAAGACGTCGATGGATTCAGGTTTGATAGAAGTGATGTAGCTTTTTGGTTCCAATAAACAGTTCCATGCTGCTGAAAAAAATGACTGAGGTTAAGCACTGCTTCCTTGTTTCATTTATAGTTCAAACAGTTCTTCCATTTTCTCAAATCAAACCAATATAGTTTTGTTATTTCTATTCGTTTTTCTTGACTACCGGTCAGCCGAAGCAGAGCAGTATAGTGGTAATCGTCACCTGACCACAGCCGGAAATTGTTCTGACAGCTGCCAAATTGACCAACTTAGAAAGTCGTTGGAAAACCAAATCCAAGGCTTCCAGCCACATACAAACGGGAGCCGTAATTGTTTCACCATCTTCATGCTTATGAACCCCGTTATCGGAACTGAAAACAAAAAAAGACAAACTTTCTAACTGATATGATCTGCTTGAAACCAAAAATATTTTTGATACATTTGCAACAAAATTTATTTCACACTGAAAAAGTACTGTTAAAAAGTTCTAGACGTTGTAATAAGTTTTACAGACAATCGGCTGAAACTTCCAGAAAAGAATTAAAATAATTTTAGCCAATATTTTAGGAGAGCAACAAAAGAAGATGAGTGTGAAAAATAAAGCGTACAAATAGGTGGATTAGCAGAAGAAAACAGTTTAAATGCTAAAGTTTATTAGCTGTTATCAGTTTTATCTTCTGTTATATCACAGCAATTTTATAAAGTTCAGTTTTTTCAACATATAACAATTCCCATTAAAAACTGTGACATTTTTTTACGATTACAATGCTTGCATAAATAACTGAATAATCTGCTCGCTAATTTCCTTGCTTAGTGATTTCAGTGTTTTGACAGCACATTATCATTTGCGCAGTTTTTCTAATCAGATATATTAACATTAAAAAAAAAAAAAAAAAAAAAAAAAAAAAAAAAA